AGTTCTTAAATATCTTTAAAAGTCCTGGCGAACACCTCCTGGGGTGCAGAGCGTTGCTCCATGCTTCGCATTTACAGAGCTCTAATTCGCTCTAAACTGGACTACGGCTCAGTTGTTTACGGATCTGCCCGGTCTTCAGTGTTGTTAAAACTAGATCCTGTTCATCATCAGGCTCTGCGGATTTGTTCTGGAGCCTTCAGGACATCTCCTGTGCAGAGCCTTTATGTTGACTGTCACGAGCCATCACTCCGTTTGAGGCGTGAGGAGTTGTCTCTTTTACGCTATTTTAATATTTTATCTCAACCTGACCATCCTTATAACTTGTGTATATGTGAAAATAGCTGTGACCTTTTATTTGAGGCACGTCCATCCTGTGTGCCTTCTTTTCCTGTTAGAGTTCGTCCCCTCATTGAAGAATTCTCCCTGTTTGATATTTCCCCACAGGCAGTACAGCATTTTGAAATTGCACCTTGGGAAAATGCACAAATCCACCTTCTTGACATTTTCCACAATTACGGAAAAACAACTACTGATGAGAGCATCTACAGACAAATTTTTGCTGATCACAGGCAGAGTTACAGGAGTTATGTTTCCCATATATACGGATGGCTCTAAGTCAGCTTGCCATGTTGGCATGTCATGTATAATTGGTGACCACATGGAAGGCAGACGTTTACACGACGCTTCCTCTGTCTTAACCTCCGAACTGACTGCCATATATTATGCGCTTTTGTACATCTCAACGCTGCACCATCGAAAATTCATTGTATATACGGACTCCTACAGTGCATTGAAAGCTTTAGAATCCTTTTCTAGCACTGAGAATCCTGTGATAGTGGATGTTCTCAAGTTGAATATTAAATTGACATGTCGTGGATTTGAACTCCTGTACTGCTGGGTCCCCGGACATACAGGAATAAAGGGCAATGAGCTGGCGGATATCGCAGCGAAATCTGCTGTTGAGATGTCCGGCCGCCTCATCCCTTTTAAAGATATCCGTTGTGTCATAAAAGAGAAGATCCGAAAGAAATGGCAGCAACTTTGGGACCTTCAACTTCATAACAAGTTGAGAAGGGTGAAGCCTAAAATAGAGCATTGGGATACTACTAGCAATCGCAGGGAGGAAGTTCTTTTGACTCGCCTTAGAATTGGTCACAGTAGAGTGACACATAACTACCTACCTTCTGAAAGCTGAGAAACGAGCCTATTTGTGCAACTTGTAATGTTTGTCTTTCAGTTTATCACATTTTAATTGAATGTTCATATTTTAATAATCTTCGTGAGAAGTATTTTAATAGCGGCGACCTGCCTCTCGACCGTTTAATCGGAAGAGAGGTCAATAATAATTTGTTTCACTACCTCAAGGAAACAGGTTTCTATTATTTAATTTGATTTTTGTCCTGAGATTTTATGTTGGAATTTTAATTAATCAGATGTTTTAGGATTTTATATCTATACTGCATCTCTCATTATCAAAGTTATAATCAGCATTTTCATCCCATCATTTAAATATCTTTTTACTTGCCTCGATTTTAAAAGTGTGCTGTTGTCTTTATATTTTTTGTTCCTTTAGTTTGTATGTTAAAAAAAGAATCCTGTGTTTGGCGCATATGGCCTATTGAGCTTTGCGCCATAAAACTACTACTACTACTACATTTCAACTCATTTCCTCGAATTTAATTCGAGATATATTTCTCATTCAAATCATTAATTTTCTCACTTCGCGGCAAGGCAAAAATACATAAAAACTCAACATATCTTCATTGAAAATCGAAATATATGGAAAAAAGTAAAATACCAAATACAGTTAAAACATTTAAAAAACATGTTTCGCAAACATGTTTTTCATTTGTATGCAACTAAAAACATCTCAAAAACAAGCAATATGGTCAGCAGGCAAGGAAGCAGATTTTTCGGTGAGCAAAACTGAAAGTTAACTTTTGGTCCCACTTGGCAAAAAGGCACTGAAGATGCAGAAACCGACTTAATTCACTATTCTGCTAAGTTTCAAATGTAAACAAATATGGATGCTATAGTGAAAAAATTAGGCTTAGCTGCACTTAACCAACACTTAAATTATTGATAATTCTATAACTGTTGCATGCAGATTAATTAAAGGGCATAAAAACCTTAACTGGAACATAATCACAACAGAATTCAATCATTTTTAAAGCAAAAAAGGAACAATTTACCAATATATAAGAATAAAAAAAAACTGAGCTCATTGAGCCGAGTAACAGAATAGGTATATGTATGCCATAATTTCGTAGCACAGTCGCGATGGCTGAGTGGCACGGTGAGAGGAAGAAGTAGATACCAAATTAAGTTCAGCCAATTATATTCTTTATTTCCAGATTTCCCCGCACACAGTAAAATAATTCCTCGTAGACAACATACTCTTTAATCATACAATTACGATAATTTCTTATACATATTGGTTTTTAAAAAAATGACAAAGAATTTACAGAAGCGAAGCGAGGAGATATTAACAAGGTAGAAGCTAGCAGAATAATGCAGCAAAATAATGACGTAGTTAGCTCGCCAGAGGTTTTATACCAAAGTAGGTGTGATTCTAGAAACAAGCTGTTGTTGGTTAATATTAGTTTTAGTTGTCTTTTTCCAGTAGCGTTACATAACGTAGAAAAATCTCTAATTTGGAGAGCAGATGAATTTAAGGGGAGATCACGAAATTTAGAATGTTAATTTTGAGATCGCCAATTATTTTTTCAAAGCAGCTATCGTATTTTGTATGTTTATATATATATATATATTTGGCGCAGCCTATTGCAACCAAAAAGGTAGGTGCACAACTGCATGTTATAGCAGCCCTATATACAAAATTTCAAGGCTACTCATTTTTGAGTTATGCGAGATACACACATACGTACGTACAGACGTCAGGAAAACAAAATCTCTAATAAATCCATTTTAAATCCATTTTGAAATCCGTTTTAGGAAAAAGAGTCCTCTATTCTGTCCTTACGTACAAATGTCAAGCAAAAACATCCTTAAATTGCATTCGATAGCGTTTAAAATGGATATTTTCGTTGAAATATGATACCCGCAATTTTCGCGATTACAATACTTCCTTTACTTTGTAAGTAAGTAAGTAAAAAAAACACGATGAAAATTGACGGAGTTATTTGATATTAAAATCAGTTGTCAGAGGCTGTACATAAATTGGTGAATAAAATGTTTGCATTTGTATGTAACTAAATATAAAATATCATTAAAAAAAGATTTCTGATATTATTAGAATAAATGACGAGCAGTTGCATGCAGACTGCTGTGAAACATATTGATTAATTTAACGTTCTTTTTAAACAGAAATCTTATTCTTCATCCAGTACTTATATAGTTTGTGTTTTAGAAAACATTGGCAGGCTACAATTTTGGCACGTAGGCAACTCATAGTATTATTTGTATTAATGAAAAAGGAAGACATTTTGTGTTAATGATTTTTTCTCAATTATTAGATTATTATTTTAAAATAAAAGACTTGAATGAGTATGTTAATAGCGCATGTGTAGATTTTGAAAACTTATAAATCACTTGTGTAAAACTTCTTTTAGCATACCAAATATAACAAAATTACAAGTTAAAGACACTAGTAAATAACAAAAGAATATTATTGAGCGGCATTTAGAGAGAAAAAGTCAATCCCAACTTATTTTAATTTATGTATTGACTAACTCCTATTGCAAACAGAAAATAAAATCTATTTATTTTCTTAAAAAATTTGATTTTGAAATTAAATATTTCAGTCAATTTTTTTCATACGGGAGCCAAACGTTTTGTGTTTTATTTTTTATGACGAGCCCAAAATGTTCTTAAATAAAAGTACAGGACCAGAGAAACATATAAAAAATTAAGTTTTCGAATTTTTATAAAATCGATTTCTTTCAATTTAAGAATGCCAAAACACAAATATTTGCGTCATCTATAACACTTTTATGTGTCTACTAATCGTAGACACCCTCGTATGTGTCTACGATTAACGATTACGAAAAAGAAAGCTCGGGTAGCGAATTTGGTCACTGTAAATAGTGTTGTTTTCGTAAACTATTTTAATACCTTTAATCATCCAGTACGTAAATATGCTAAGTATTGTTAATTGAATTTCTGGTTCTCAAACTAGTCTTATTTGTACAAAGCATTTTAATGGCTAGAAGGATGAATTACTATTTTGAACAGCTCTTTTTAAATGTACGATTTTATGCTCGGTATCTTAAGCAGTAGACTGTTTAGCTTAAAACTCTTTCAGTTATTTAACTGGATTATAAATAGAAAAATGAAATTTCAATTTTTTAATTTTTTACACAAATTTTTACACTTTTTAATTTCTATTTTTTTTGAAATTTTTCATAAATTTTTTATTAAAATTTTTTTAATAATTTTCTTTTTTAGGATTTGTGTTTTCTTATGATATAAACGTTTCAGATTACGATAATTTCTTTCAGTTCATGATTTGAGGTTAATAATTTTAATTTCTTTTCATTGACTGTCATAATATTTTTACACTTTTTAAACTACACCCAAAATAAATGTTATTTCTGTACTTGAAAAGAAATGGAGAACAATAAATAAAATCTTGTGACATTTTAATATCGCCTTCTCATGTTAATGGGCAGCGAGTACTTTATCTATTCCTCTGACTTGATCTTGAATTAGTATTTTCCTTTTTTGAAAAATTCCTTCATTGCCATCGGCTTATGAGAAAAATATTGTTAAGCACTTAATTTATTTTTTATTTTATTTTTTTTTTTTAATCAGGCAGCAAGTAACTTAATAATTTCTTATGTAACATCTCTTCAGTTACGCTCAATCCTGCCATGCACCCAGTAACGTACTCAGTCAAAACTAATCATTCTCTGTCTAGTGACGTCACAGGTTTGGGTTGGGGAGGAGGGTAGAAAGCGGGGATAGGTACCACCCTACGATTATCCCAGTGAGATAATACAGGATGTTATTTAAGAATGGAAACGATGTGCAAGGAAGCGTTAACTTGCGTCTGTGTCTCGTCTGTTTAAGTTCTCTTTTTCCCTCAGTTGGATACCTCAGAGCGATCAGAGATAAATGAGGAGTCAATGCATTCAGCTCTAAAGGCTCTCTAAGTGAATTTCAAAATGATGCATCAAAGAAGACTTGTAAGTGATAATTTTTATCGTCATTCGCATTAATTTAATAGCTTTAAAAATAAGTTAAAAGAAGAGTTCAGGAATATTTTTATTTTATAATTATTCGATGTACTTATTTAAGGGCAAAAACAAAAATTTCAAATGCAGGATAAATGTTATTTTGTTAAACATAAAATTTAAATTGCAATCAAGCAAACTGCAAATTTTATTTATAGATTTGTTTAGATATTCGAAAATTATGTATCAAATAATTTTCCAAAAAATTAATTCTTTTGGTAAGTAATAAAAATATCATTAAAATATTCTTTACTGATTGAAAACTTCTAATAAAATACTGAGATATATTTTACCCATTTAAATGCTCCGCAGGATTTTTTTTACGTTCAGCGTCCTTAATGAGAAATGTAATTCCAAACTAATACAGAATTTTAATTTTCATTTGCCATTGTGCTCAGCTGGGAACATTTAAAATAATAACAAAAAAACATTCTTAAGTTACTTTTTTAATATAATTCACGTAATTATTCATTCACTTTAGTTACTAAGTAAGTGGAATTGATAAAATAATTTTTCACGGGAGTGGGTTTTTATTATTCTTTTCTTTTCCCTTTCTGTCTCTGTCTTTTTCGTAAATGCATGTTTTTGTTGAAAACAAATTAAATTCACAGAAAAAAATTATGCAATCATTTAAATACATTCTAGATATTGTATTTATGAATGTGTACCACAAAAGAATTTTTTAATCGGAGAATGAGCTAAATGTGTATGCTCTCGAATAGGAAATTAGAGCCTGTTTCAAGGAAGTGTAACTGTCATATAAGACCAAAATTTTTTAATTACATTTTTCCCTAACTAGATGGCAACAAATTAAAAATTAAAAAATAACTACATATAGTAAATTTCTAATTGTTAGTGAATTTGAAAAGTGAATGTTTAGCATAATGTTAACCATTAGGACTAAGCATTTGGAAAATAAAAATATGAAGTTTTGCAATCCGATAATATTTGTTTTTAATGCATTATTTTAATACAATCAATCAGTTAAGATGCACGAAATTAAAAATAATAATTCCTAAACGAATTGTCAAGTTCAGAATAGACACAATCATCTGAAATAATCTCAATACTGGCATCACTTGAATCTTTATTTGTTGTGCGTTGCCAAGTTGCCAGTTACACAGACAAAAGCAGAAAAAATTACTATAAAGATTTTAGGAATCTAAGGATTTAAATACTACATGATTAAAGAAACGTCTAAATTTTATCTTAATATTTTAAGAGAAAATAGGTGAAAGCAATCTCTTGGAACGCTCTATGTGGAGCCTACGATCAGAAATATGTCTTTTAGAAAAACCATTCAAAATCATAAATATGATTTTAAATTTAAAATAACAACTCTCAAATTCGTTACTGTAGCATGTTATTGAAATTGTATTATTACTGAAATATCATCTATAACACATTTTCAAGCGTCAATGATAATTCTTTACATTGTTTTGTTAATTGTAATAATTTATGATCTTAAAACTGAAGTTTTCGAGTAACCTTTACATTGGTCTTTTATACTGTATCTCGTTTATGTTCTTATAGTCTTGTTAAAACTAATAAATGCAGGAGAATTATAGATATCCACCAGAAGTGTAAAACTTAACTGCGTATGTGTATACATATATATATATATATATATATATATACAGCAGTAAAATAGGTTTTTCTCTATCATTAGAAAAGGTATTTATCTTTTGAATTACAATCTTACTTGTCTTCGATTTTAAGATTTTTTATTTCTACCCGTTTCGTATCTGCTTAATTCCAACACACATATAGAAAAAGAGTACCTGTTCCCAAATGTTTTTAAATTTTTAAACGGTGAATTTTTGTGTCTCTTTCCTTTTGCGTACTCCCTACACTCGGAAATGCTTTTTTCCCGCTATCTCTTTGAGATACGATAAGCTGAAAGCACCAAGCTCAAATTAATTCGCTTGGTGCGCACGCTATCTTTACTGTTTAGATATATGTACGAAAACTTTGCTTATAGGTTTTTTTAAATCCTGAGCCTAGACAGATCAGGATTTACGACAATTCAAATATGCAGGTCGTTCAGGTTAAAAGTAGATTCTTCCTAGAAATAATAAATATAGAAAACATTCGTGGAAACAATAAAAATGGATTTAAATTAAGCAAAAAAGAAGCAAACCTTAGAGCAGCAGCTTTTCAGATGTTGAATAAAAATTCATATAAGGAAATCGATCGTCAAAAGCAGAGTGACCTGCTTCTTATCGCCCTTAGAATTGATAAATTAAAATATCTGTGCTATTAAAAGTTGTATTTTTTTACTTATTTTAAATTTTTCATTGCAGTGTTTCACTTCTAGTTTAATTGTAGATATTTACAGCATGTATTTACCTACAACAACCCCCAAATCCAGTGTATTTTCTTACATGTTTTACCATATTCTTAGTGAAATAAACTTAAATTTCCCTTGCCTATACTCTAGAACAGCGGTTCTCAACCTTTTGACTAACGTGTACAACCTAAACAAAAATTGAAAACCTTTAGCACCACCACTACAAAGTACTGCTACCACCACCCTTCTTGAACAAAGCTCAGATCGCATAAATTTACGAGTGTTAAAAAAATCAATCAAGATGTTGGGGTTTTAATTTTTTAATTCAATAGTTAAAAATACTTTGCTTCTTTGCGTGCCACCAGTAGTAAGCGTACCATCGGTTGAGAACCCCTGCTTCGAGACGGCTGCTGTTACATTTATTTTCAACTCTTTCAATGTGCGTGTGTTTCTTATAAACATTATTAGTCTTATAAAGCTTCTCAAAAATCTAGTAGAAACTGCAAAAATGAAAGATCACCGAGGCTATATTCTTTACGGATCATTCTGTTATTGTAATGCTGGAATCCATTGTATTTCATTTCACACTGTGTTGCTAGTATAACGTGTTAGTAGTCGTGCAAATGAAAGTTTTTTTCGCATGTGGGTTCACTTTATTAAATGTGATTTTAAAGTTATTTTTTCTTTTTCTCGAAAAGACATTTTTGACATTTTACCTTTATACAAAATTTTCTAAAAAGCTTATAATTTTGCATGAACACTGTGCAAGTATTGAAGAAAGGGATACATCATTGATATGGTTGTAGGTTCCTTCTTTCCTCTGCATTTTTAATGATACAAAATACAAGTTTTTCAAAATTTTGAAAATGTTTTTATTTGTCGCACGTTTAACATCTATTGCATCTTACCTAAATACTCTATGATAGTGAAAATGGTTCATGCCTTAAAAAGAGATTACAAAAATCATGTTAAAATTTACAGACTATACCTTAATTAAATAATATAAATACCTTGATTTATATTATGTGTGTGTGTGTGCGCGTGTAGAAAAGGAAACACCAAGTTTCATTAATTTGGTGATAATAAAATCCAATTTTTCTTTATTTTCATATTATTACATATTATTTGGTAATCATGTGGTATGTGTCCTACTGCTTCTAGTTAGTTATTTACTTTTTAGATGACGGACCAAAATTGGTTGTTGTTTTAATCATTCCTTTGTAGGGATTTATATTTATTTTTCATTAACAAGTTAAGTTTAATTTTAATCTTTCCTATAAGCCTTCATTCCCTTAATTGTCAATGCCAAAATATTTAAATTTGGTAGCGCGTGTGAAGTAATGCAAATTCTGCCTTGAGGAGAAGAGGTTTAAATACTGAGTTCTAGAAGGAAAAGTTAAGAGAGTTTGGGTACGCGCTGTATTTTTGTAGCGTGAGCTTCTATTTCTGCATTTATTGCTGATTAACGTGGCATAACAGCTATTACTTTGCTGCCACTAGATTTCGGCGCGGTTTTTAGGTAACAGAACTTATCTGAGCTCTGTAGATTAATTTCTACCTCTTGTTAATATTTTCGAATTTTACTTTAGTTCTTGTTATTTGAGTTACCGCTCGAGTGAGGCGTAGTGTGTTAGCGTCAAGTCGACGCATTATGAATTTTAAAGAGTTTAATAAAGGGTACTTTTAACCCTTCTCCTGTGTGGTTTCTACTTATACTTCAGTTGTTACTTTAGAAGACAAGCAAGTAGATCTTACACCTTTTTTTCTGCCATTTTAACGCACATTTGAATTTAATAAAAAGCGTTTAGTGGTGCCATCTAAGATATAAAGGGCTAACTAAAAGCGGTAGATCGCATACTACGTGATTACTTATTATGATGTTATGTAAAATCCATTTGCTTTTATTGTTTCGCATTTTTCATGCGTTTGAAGTAATTTTTTTCTCAAATTGGTTTTTGCACTAAGTTAGTTTTCTGGAGATTTTAAAACAGTTCTCAGCCTTCCTCCCTCACCTTTTTTTTTTTTTTTTTTTTTTTTTTAGATATACTGTTTACTTACTTGAGCTAGCAGTTTGCCTATTTGTTTGCTCAATAATTATTCCACTTTGCCGAATTAAATACAATATTTTAATTTATTGAAATGTTGTTTGATTTTAATAGTTATATATATTACAGTATCACAATTTTTTTAAATTTTAAAACAAACTATCTCAAAACCATTTCCGCTCAAATGCTGCTGAAAATTTATCAGTCATAAAAAAAAAGTTTTAAATAATTTCAAAAATTTCTTTCCAAAGGTATTCGGATACTTTGAAACATTTATTTTTTTTCCCCTTTATTCTCACTAAAAGAGAAATTCTAGTAACAAGTTAAATTGAATTGGATCTTGAAAGAAGCAAAGATTTTATTTAGCATTATTCATATTGGTTTGCTTTTCCTTTCAGGTAAGTGAATACTACGTCAATCGCCATAAATGGCTTTACTGACAGTTCTAGTCGAATATAAAAACAACTTGCCTACTATAACGTTTTCATTATCAATCCTGTTACAGCGCACTTTCATTATTCTGAAACAGAATAATCCTTTGCGTTTTGACCTGCCATTCAACCTTAGAACATCCGTTTATTCAGATTATTCATGAGTCACGCACTTTTTATTGTGTG